TTCTGATTTCTGAGGTACATTTGAATAGTTTACAATATCAGTTTCTTTTACAGCTGCTTGGTTGTGTATTTTGAATTGGGTATATTTGAGAATCTCAGCCTATTCTGTGGATTGAATAAAGTGTTTGGTTCAAAATTCTCAAAACTTTTACCATCTATGACAAATATCTGAAGAAGGCCAGAAGGTACAACAGCTGAAATGTTGTGATTATAACAAGCAAAATATGAACACTTGTCTGAGCAAATCAGTGTTCATCTCTTTCCTTATCAATGCACTTAATTCAATGATGAATATTAATCAAATAAATTGAACATTATTAATGAAATTTATTATTACATGAGGTATTGTGAACCATTAATTTTTTTTTTATTAGCATTTCTATAACTTTATCTGCTTTTTTATTGCAACCAGTCATACAATCTGCACTGTTTACTAATGACAATAGGCAATGTGGAAATAATAATCTTTTAGCAAGAATTTAACTTGTATCACTTTTTTTTCAAGAGCTTATCTTACCATGATGGTTTTTGAAGTTGGAATGAAAGACGTAGGAATCGAAAAATAATAATGGTTGAACATTATATACTGAAAATTTTTAGTTAAAAATTCAGCTAATAACTGTGTGTCAAGCTATAGACTTGCTGATAAAACCTTGTATAAAGTAGTCCTGAAAAGTTCTCAACCTAACTCACCTCCCAAAATCTGACGAAATGACCAATTATAGGAATTTTTTGAAATCCTTTCTTGGTTAGGTTCAGAACATTGTATATACCATTTTACTACCCACTTGTATATACTAATATATTCAACAGTAATTTTAAGGTAAAATTTAACAAACATATCCCATCAAAATACCAGTGACATATTTTGTCTTGACACTGCTGTTACAATATACTTCTTTGACATTTTTTATTGTTTTAAATAGTTATTTTTTAAAACCTTAATAAATCAGGAGGTACAGAGGAGTAATGGATAATGGCTTGGAGTGAGGAATCGGAGAGCTGAGTTCAAATTTCTGTCAAATCCATTACATTCACTTACATGCTAATACTCTTGCGAAAGGTATGAATCCTCTTCTCTTCCAAGCTATGGGTAAATAGCAGGACAAACTGGGTTCTATAGATTTGAATCACAACTGGTCTACTGCAGAAAGAAATGGCAACCTACTGCAGGAAAAAAATCTGCCTCATCAGTCATGTATCAAAAGATAGATGATCACCTATGAGTGTATTACATATGGCACATAACAGACTGACTGAATAAAACCCCAAAATATGAAACTGGATTGTTGCATTCTCTTTGTTTCTCAAGAATTGGAAAAAAAAAAAAAGAATTGAACACTTTATTTAAAGAGTAATTTTATATTTCTAAGGTTATAAAAATATGTGAACCAGCTAAAATGCAATCAGTAGTGTAGCGGTTTGCCATGGTTAACACTTTTATGGAGGTAGCACTTTTGAGTCTGCTGTATAAGTCTGTATTGAAATAAAAGATTTTAATGTGAAGAAACTACTCACAGTTGGAGGACCTTTTTGATTTCAAATAACTTAAATTATGGCATATGTATTTAAGTGATTGCTATCTTAGTTGAACAATAAACATTATCCAGTGATGTATTCAAGGTTGTTTTATAATTAACAATATGAAACCTGTGAAGTGAGCCAGTGTGCATTCTTTTAATGCCACAGCACTTCTGTGTGTAGGAGACAAATCTTGGCTGTTATATCAACTTCAGTTATTTTCCTTGATTGAAGTTTATTTTGGAGCATGCATTACTTTATTTTTAATCTTTTGGGCTTGGCTCTTCTCGACCAATTGTCTTTACCTTTGATTTTAAGTTAAACTTCATTATATTCCAGCTTATTTAACATACACACATTTTATATCTATATATATATATATATATATATATATATATATATATATATATATATATATATATATATATAGAGGAGTCACTGCCCAATATGTTGTATTTTTGTATGCCAGCAAACTCAAGGGCTGTCCCAGGAGGCACATACTCTAGATACAGCACTGAATGCAATATTTATTATCTACTTTATAAAGAAATAACTATGAAGACATTTTTTTTATTCATAATTTTGTATAAATGTCTAGAAGCAAGAAAACATCAAAAGTAAAATGAATACATAATAGCAAATGAATATACATTTTGTGAAAAAAAAAGCATTTTCCAGGCATTTATTTCATTTGCTTTCACCTTATAAAATCACTAAAAAAGGTTGCAAGCATCTGGATTTATACTTTTTTCTTAGAAAATGTTGAACACTATTTATATATTAGACTGTTTATTTGTAAAGATAGTGTTTAACATTTGTGCTGCCATTTCTCCATGAAAAAAAAAAAAATTGTATAAATTCAGTTTCATATAAAATTGTATAAATTCAGTTTCATATAAAATTGTTAAAATAAATTCAGTTTCATATAAAATTGTTAAAATTTTAAAAATATCTTTTTAAAACAATAAAAATTGTCAAAGGAGTATACAGTAGTAGTAACACCAAGAGAAAAAAATTGTCGTTTTGACACACCATATTTTTTCTTTGTGGGTACATTTGTTTAAACATTGCCAATTTTAAATTATGCAAAATATAAACATTACAACCAAAGCACAAATGAATCAACAACAAATTTTGTAAGATTTTTTTTTTTCAGATTTTTATTGAGTTTAAACATTTTTTTTTTTATTTTTCCCAGTGTGCACTAGCAAGAGACACAAAAAACAGGAAGAGAAAAATTAAGTATTAAGTTTTTTTTAGCATTCATAAAACATTTAATGCATTTTTAATTTCCCAAAAGAATTTGGGTTTTTTTTTTCTCAGAAATTTTAACGACTAGACAAAGATTGAAATGTCAAGTTCAGTATGTAGAAATATCAAAATAGAAATGGATGATAGGAATGTCTTCACAATGTTAAAGATAGACATATTTTAATGAAAACATTTTTATTTTTTTTATTTAAGTGTTTGATATTTTTGTTTTCATTGTATCTTTATTGAAGCATTTGAAAGATTCTCTTGAAATAAGTTTAGAAGCTTCATGTATTTTTTTGTTCATAAAAATTTCATTTTTTTTTTTTAAATTATTTAATCACGTTTTACTTGTTTTATTTTATTTTATTTGTGTTTCCAGTTTTGCAGAGATAATTCTTGGCTATTCCTTATTCAGATAATTTTCATCTTTGTTATTTTTATCATGTTTCAGCCTCCCTCAGCTGTATGTTGTGTTTAGACTTTGGAATCTATTTAATATTTTCATTTTCCCACTTCACCATCCCATGAAAAGGACAAAGTAAAGAAAACAAATTATTAAGTGAATTCCAAACCCAGTTGCATTTTCAACAACTGAATTTGTCTAAAGAATATCTTGGAATTAAATTTATTAAAAAAAAAAAAAAAATCAAAGATGAAAATAGTAATCTGAGTAATATATGGAATTGAAGACGTTTTATCTCAGAACTTGTGAAAAAAAAAACACATTAAATTGGAAAAGTCTAGATTTAAAATTTTTAATACCAGACTTCTAAAAATTTTATATATGGATTAAAAAAATAAAATTAAGAGAATGTAAAAGAAATTTAAAAAAAAATGATTTTAAAAAGAAGAATTCTGTAAAAGAATTTAATGTCTTGGCAGATTATCAAAGAAGATAAGCTTTAAATTTAGCAATTCTAATATATTTAGCATTTTGGTGTATGAAATAATATTATGGATTTTAAAAAAAATTATGGAAAGATTATAAAATATATTTTGATCGTTATGGAACTCCAGAGGATTAATGGAAGGCTTAAAAGCAATTTAGTAAACTTTTTTACGTTTCCTTAAGAAACTCCTTTAGCATTTGGATTGACTGTAAACATTTCAGTGATTATAAGAAATCAGCAGTTATCGTTCTTAGATCAGGTTGCTTAACGTGAAATGAGGGCAGTTTGTGATGGAAAAATGCAGAAAGAATTGTGTATTTGTAAAACTAAATTTAATCATTATTATGCAAAATGCTTAGTTTAATATTAAAAATTTACCACAGATGAAATTGCTATATATTCATCAAGAGTTAAATTAGAAATCTCTTTTAGATATATTAATGACAATAATTTTATATTGACTTCCAGACATTCAAAAAATAAATAGACATTTTTGCAATATCAAATATGCAATAATTGTGAAAGGATTTAATATAGAATTGATTGATGAGAAAAATAGGTTAATTGAAAAGCTTTTTTTTTCTTTTAAACAGGAGATTGCCACATTATTTTTACAGTTCTTATATGTATGAATATAAGCCTTCAGCTCATATAAAGATCATTTTCAAACAAAGGCACTTGGATTAAATCACACAACAAACAAATTATATCAAGAAGACAATATGAACTTTCAAAAAGGCTTTTGAAATTATCACTGATCTGCTGTGATTACTAATAATAATAATATTATTTTTAAGCTTTTAAAAATTATCAGATCCATTATTATTATTACTAACTTTTTAAATTTTTGAAAATTATCACTAATTAGACATAATTATTATTATCATTATTATTATTTCTACTACCACTGGTATTTTTTTTAAACTTTTGAAAATTATCACTTAGTCACTATTATTTATTTTGAAGCTTTTAAAAATTATCAGTTCAATAATTATTATTACTACTGATATTAATATTTAAGTTTTTGAAAATTATCACTGAATTGTTATTACTATTTTTTTTTTTTTTTAAATAATCCCATATTACTATTAATATTACTACTATCACTGCTACTGTTTCTTAAAAACTTTTGAAAAATTATCACTGATCCAATATTATTCCTATGGCTATCATTTTTTTCATGACCCACTCTAGATTATAAATCAGGCAGTGTTATTTGTTTTTTCAGGGCTGAATTTTTTTTCTTTCTTTCTTTTTTGGTCCTACCATTTCTTGTAGCAAAAATTTCTTTTCATCAACATTTAAACAAAATGGCTGAACAATAAGAATGACTTTATCACTGCATTGATGAAGCAGCTTCATCCGTGTTAGTATTTTCCTCCTTTTTCAGGCTGTTTAATTTCTTAGTGCTGTTATCCACAAATTCCTACAAAAGAAAAGTAAAATAATAAAACAACATATCACCCCAAATCAGAAAATACTTTTAAAAAACTGTTGGACTTCTGCTTAATGTTAACTGTGTTTTTTAGACTTTATCTTTAGTGGAGACACTTATCACCATTATTACTATTAATAATAACAATAATAATATTGTAATTATGCTGCTGGTGCTTTTGTCACTGATGAACCTCCTCTGAACAGCACATCCCTATTGCACTGATTGAATACATTTGGGAATTTGTTATCTTTATTTAAGTCCAGTACTAGATTGGTGGAAAGTTCCCATCACTTTACAGATATAATGGTTAGATGGAACTGTAAGTTCTATGCTAGCAGTTTCTTCTATCGCACTTCTCTTTTGTGGAGCTCTGTTCTAGCTTCTTGCTTTCTAGTCAACTTTGATCTTCAAAAATTTAAATGCAATGTCAATTGTTATCTTCTGTCTTAATTCCTTTTCTTTTATTGCTCTTTAGACAGGTTAGTAAAAGTTATGTGCTACAAAGAACTAGCTTGAGAACTGAATTTTGGAATCTAAATAAATCAAATTTTCAATATTTCTCACTTAAAAATATATATTGAGAAAATTCCCATTCTTTTTTTTTTTTCTTTTTCAAAATCAAATTTACTTAAGAAACATGTTTATTATTTAAAGTTAAAAAAATTTAAATAAACTTTAAATTTTTAAATCAATTTTACAACCTTAAGATAATCTCCAAGAAATTTAATAAGGGTTTTATCCATTTATTTATTTTTTCTTTAATTCCTGGAAGATAAAAAAGTTTAAATACTTTGTAAACTTTTTAACACTGGAGTGATATCTTACCATTAGAGAAGAATCCATATAATATGGTTTTTCAGCAGATCCATCATTCATTTCAACATCTTCACAGAAAGACAATAGCAATGCATCTATTACTATCTGCAAAAAACATGAATATGGCAACAAAGATAAGGGCAACAGTCTGAACAATGTAAATAGTGTAAATAATTTTCTACATATATTCTTTTTATACAGATCTAAAAAGAAAAAAAAAACATTTCTATACAATGGAAGAAGATAACTTTTGTATCAGATTTTTCTTCAATTATTATTCATTTAATAATAAAGATTTGGCAAACTTGGAGCTTTGAGCTCATAAAAAAATAGAGTGTCAAAAGGACAATTTTTCCCTTGACACTGCTATTATTTTAACTACCTTCACTCCTCAGCAATATTTATTGTTTTAACAAGTGATGAATAGCATTGTAATAAAACCTAAATATATGATGAAAGTGAATGTATACATGATTTTTGTTCTTGAGAATTTAAAACAAAAATATTAATCACTATTTATTAGATTGTTTATTTGCAAGAATAATTTTATATTTACAATATTCTAAAAACTAATATAATTAAAACTAATGCAATATTTATCATTTATTAATTCATAATGAAATATATATGAAAAAATATTTTTTTTCATAAATTTATGAACATTTACTAAATTATTAAAATATGTGAACCAGAATCTTTATTATTTACCATTTTATAAAGTTTGAATTAATTGGCAATTAACCGATGTTTTGCCAACCATTCCAATAAACAATATAATAAATAAATAATAAATAAACAATCTGTAGTAGGAAACCAGTTTCTTCTGTAACACAGAAACTGGAACAACACTCACAAGGGACTCACGTTTAGCACACACTGCTCTGACCTTCACTGAGTGCAAATCCTTATTGTTCTCCCAACGAACACCTGTCTCTTTTATGCATTTTTCCCAAGCCAGAATATTAGCATATGGCACACTTTGCCAGCCTTGATCTGGCTGGATGAGATATGCACCAATGCTCATATGGTTCGACTGTCTCACAATTTGCTCTTCTTATGTGCAAATTTAGGCTAAACCACTCAGGCCCTCTTGGATCTCCAAGGAAATTCTTCACCACACAATTTAATAAATAGTATTTATTATTTTGTTGTAAATTCTCAAAGAAAATGTATAAATTCACTTTCATATGTTTGGATTTTATTACAATTCTAATCATCAATTTTGAAATTAGATGACATTAAATAATTTTTTTTTATTTTGCTTCAATATTTTTTGAATAAAATTATAATTGCATGATGGTAAGGTTTTTTGTTTGATTATATCTTCATCGACTCAAAATTCATGTTGAGTTGATACAAAAAACTTATGAATGCATTATGGCTTGACTTCATTTTAATCCATACTTTTGTTGAATAAGCAGGCATTTTTAAGTAGAATTGACAAAATAACAAAATAAGTGCAGTGCAAAATAATAAAAGAAATGAACAATCTAATGCAAGGCAAACTATAAGACAATATCAAAATAAAATTAAACAAAATAGAAACGGTGTTCATACACAAACAGATTACAGTCAAGTTGTTATAGCCTTTTAATTTCAAGGCAAGAAAGAAAAATACATAGGTAAAACCAAGAATTTTTCATCTTTATTGATCAAGAAGAAATCCCAGCATGCATCTGTAGGATTTGTATATTAAAAAAGGTAAAGTTATCCAGGCTTACCTCATACTGTGACATGAAGCAGCTAGCCAACAGGTAGGAAAAGACACAAGTTAATAACACTGGGATGGCATAGTAGTGGAGATCTGATAAACTCTACAAAAGAAAAGATTAATTTAAAAAAAAAAAAAAAAAAAAGAAGCATACATAAACTTTGACGAATGTTAAAGTGTACACTTTTTGTTAAATTGATGTAGTATGAATCTCACCCCAGAATAGACTTTACACTCAATGTCCTTTTATAGAAACCTGATGCAGTATTGACCTGAGAGGTGACCTCTTAGCTGCTGAGTGCAGATGCATGATTAGCCCAGCTGCACCTGGGATGCATGTATGGGAAAGAACTGTATGACAGATATAAACATCCATCCCAGCAGGAAAACTTGGTTTCTTAATATAACACAAGAAAATGTAGAATCCATGTCCATCTGGGCACAGGCTCTAGGGTGGGGGTTATAAACCTACACACTCATAAGGTGACAACAAATGTAGAAGTCGGACTTGTGTTTTCATTTGTAATGACAATAGTTCATTACACTAAGGAAAATGAAATAGTCATATTTTTTTATATTTTTAAAATTGTATTAAATTATACTTATAGCATAAAAGAAGTTAATACATTTAACTAAAGAATATACAACATGACAAACTATGTATTTCACAGTTAAATCAAAATAAACTAATTATGCAAAAGTAGGTACCTTCAAAGATTTGCAAAAAGAAGGATACATGATGAAAAAACTATCCAAAACATAAATCTTTCTGAATTTCTTGGATGAGGCATTATCTTTATTTACATTATTTACATGTAGACTATTGTCCTCATCTTTATTGTTGTTATCACATTGTTTTGACCATTATGCCATTTGACCTTCATCAGGTGTATGCTGATCCAGATACCCTACAGAGAATTCTGAATTGAACCCTTTATTTAAACCATGAGGGTAGATTGTTCTCATTCCGCTGACCATGTCTAGGTATATCTTGTCTAGTTCCTATTTTAGTCCTGGTTGATTATTACTCGCTCTGTTTCCACCAAGTTCAAGTACACACTGCCCTGTCCAAGGATTGAACTCATAATTACTATGTTACTAAATTCACAAACCAACACTTTAATCCACTAGGATATTATCCTGTGGGCCTTAAACCTAACCTGCCTGCTGATGTATGTTGCTGCTGTTTGTCATGCTTGACTGCACTCACAGAAGCAGTCTCTCTTTGTTGCAGCTGCTGCTGTTAATAACCTGCTTTCAATTGTTTGTCTTTCCTTATTAATGTCTCCCATATTATATTTATTTCTATGCTAGGCCTACTAAGAAGGTCCTAATAGCCTAGCATATTTCAGACACCTAACGCTCCCTAATTCTTTCTTGTTCAGTATTTTCACTTCATTCCACAGCTTAACTAGACTTTTCCCTCATGATCAGCCATGCCTGATTTCATTGTCTCACCCCTCACTATGATCATCTTCCTTTGATTGAGATGAAATGTGCATCACATGATGGCCACTTAGTAACATCACTCCATAGAATGAGGAAAGTGGCCAGTCCATCAGTCAGCTTCCAAGCATTTTCTTTTATGCACTGCTTGTTGTTGCATACATGTGTTATAGTTTCTTTGTGTGAGACATATGTAAATATATGTGTATATAATTTTGTGTATGACTTAGTTGTATAAAACTCTCTCTCTGAGAACAAAGCATGTTTGTCATTCCTTTTCTTCCACTTATTCCATTCCATCTGTGTATTAAGATGTTATTATATCATGAATGTAATAATGCCCATAATGGGGGAAATAAAACTGGAGAATATTCATTTCTTCCATAGCTCACCCATTACGTGATGTATTATTAACCCCCATTAACTGGTCACCCAACACTCCCATAAACTGGTGACCATGAAGTAATACTAGTATCCCATTAGACATGTTAAGCTTGTTTAAAACTAAAGTTAAACTTATGATTCTTTGAATTTTTATTCCATTTTATTTTAACAAGATAGCTATTTGAATAACATTTTTGAATATATTCATTTGCTTATTTGGTTCTAATTTAAAAGATAAATGATAAAATTAAACAAAACAAATAAAGCACTTTCAAAATTTGCAAAAACTTAAATTTATTTTTTTGCATCCTTAAAAGGATAACAATATTTGTTGATGAGGAATATCCAAATAAATTTTGGAGGATGAGATCCAAAAAATAAATGAGGAAAAAAAAAGCATTGAAATGAAAAACTTACTTTCAACCAAACAACAGCAATGGCTCCTGTAGAGGCCATGATTCCAAGTTTGGCCAAAAAGAGAAGGAAATCTCCAACACTGTTAATTGCAGCCACTCTCAAAGCATTGTTAACCAAAATATTAAATGCCTTTAAAAAAATAAAACATCAATGATAACAATTGATTTAATTCCACAGTTTAATATTAAAACAATTCAAATAGCATTTTTCTCTAGATTAAAGGACTTAAAATTAATATTTTTTATACTAAAATCCACCCAATACAAGGTCTTCAAGCTAATCAAGGTGGAGACTTACTGTAAAAAGGGTAATGATGAATAAGTTGTAATGAAAGAGGTAGGTAATGAAGATTATAAGAATAGATAACAATTGACTCTTGACTTGAAGAGGTTAAGATTACAGGGTTAAGGGAAGTATCCACATGGGAGTCTACAAATTCTTGGTAAAAGCTGTCTGAGTAGAACTGTCTTTACATTTAGAATACAGAGAAAATGCGGGTAATTAAACTAGTTTGCTCTAATGGTAAAGGTATGAACAGTAGAAATTAAAGAACAGAGCTTGTTTGAACATTTGCCATGGAAATAACAATAGAGTAATTGTAATGCTATACTCTGCTTCAAATTAGATCTCTTTCTGATTCACTCCACATCAAAACCTGTTGGCTGGATGTGAATGCTACAAAAGCAAAATTAAAAATAAAAAAGTTGCTCTCTGTGCAGGGGCTCTGAGCATTGCATCTGGTTCACAAAACAAATCCCCAAAAATAAAATTTAATCACCACCAATCACCAACATTGCTGCTAAAGCAAAAGCACAACCAAAAACACTGAGTCATGTATCCACCTTGACTGCTTAAAAGGACCCACTTGGCGACACTCAAGGATATATATATATATATATATATATATATATATATATATATTCACAATGGAGCTCATCAATGGCCTCTCGAGCCAATACAAGTTTCAATGCCAGGCCTGTATATAATCAACTATTTCATCTTCCAGGTTGCTTCCCTACCCTACAAAAGAGATATTCTGCCCTGATGCATTATACTGGGAAATATAGATAATTTTAGCTTCACATATCTTGTCTCCCTTTTTTCCACCTCACCAGCAATACTTTGTTATTTTCCTTTATTACTCTTGCAACCATACACACTATATAACAGTAGGATTGCAACATTGCATCTGTAAGAAAGAGGATACAGAATGGAGAATAAGCTTTCCTCCACAAGACCATGTAAGCAATTCCGAACTCTATCAAAACTAGAAGATGAGGATTGAGCAGCTCTGGTCTACATATGGCAGAACTACTTCATTTTTGGGTCAAATATGACTCTTGTAAAGATAAAGTGATAGAATAAGCTGACCATTTTTCTAGCATCTGTAGCCATATATTGTATATATGAGTTGAACTCTGGATTGAACTTGAGATCAAATAGCTGTTTGAAGCAGTTTCTATATATTAAATACCTTAAAATGAACAATATAGCTTTTTTTCTCTCTACTAAATGCTTTCAAATTAATATTAAAACAATGTCGTAATCTTTAAATCATAATGGGATAGATAGCAAATATGTGTAAATAATATCAGTTGTTATTTTCTATAAAAAATCCGAATTAATTGTTATATAATACTGTTGGGATATTTTTGTTCCATCCCTAAAAAGTTTAAAAAGGAGTTGACTGTAGTCAGGATCATCAAATCAAGACGAATGATCTTTTCCTTAGCTGCATAGTAGCAATTTTCCAAGCATAACTTAGATGTGGCACAAGGCCGAAAGTATGGGGCACCCAGTGAGGATCGAACTCACTACTCATTCATAATTGTGCTAGCGAGACAAGCTTGCTAACCATTACACCACACCGAGGTGCATAGTATATGCTTCACCAGGGCTACCTCATGTTTTGAATTCAGAGTTTTCTTTCTCCTAGGTCAGTTGCCATCCAAGGCTATAGAACCCATTATGTTCTACAATTTATCCATAGCTGGAGGGAGAAGAGTTGAATTTATACCTTTCTCAAGGATATTAGCATATAAGTTAATGTAATAAACTTAGTGTTTAAAAACACATTGCATTTAAAGAACCATGTTTATTGAAAGTCTAATGAACTCATTAATATAAAAGTAAAAATGAAACTGCTAAAGTTGTGTTAAAAGAGTTAGTTAATATTAAATGTGTTAAAAAGTATCACAAATAATTGTTTTCTTTTCAGTGTTTTTCTTAATCTTTATATATAATTTTGTGATACATAAATCCTCTGTAGTAATCTCATGATCATGAGAAATAAAAAAAATCCAATTCCCAGGATTCCATAGAAAAACCATCCTGTTGGTGGGAAATTTACAGAGTTCCTCTTTTTTCATCGCAAAGAGAGAGCATGTGGAGTTGAGCAGCTCCAGAAATTAAGACTACAGATAAGTTAACTTACACAAATATATCACTTTCTCATGTTTAATATTGTCTTTCACTGATAGACTTATTACTTGCAAATAAGTCACCAAGACAAACACAAACCAGAAATATTTACTAACAACCACATTACAAGAACTTTCATATATCTCTTGAACTGGTACAACCGAATCCTTCTGATTTTATATATATATATATATATATATATATATATATAAAATGTCTCACTTTGTTGTTATGATGAATATATGTTACATTTTACTAACCAAAAACTGGAGTCAAACAAAATCCATCATAACAACTCCAACAATAAGAGAAATAACAAAATTTTTCTATAAGAAAAAAGAAGGTAATAATGAGAAAACACTCATGGGTAATTTGATCCTTTCTTTCTATACATAGTGATTTTCTAAGCGCTGCTTAGATGTGGCACAAGGCCGGAAGTATGGAGCACCCAGTGAGGATCGAACTCACTACTCAGTTGTAATTGTTCTAGCGAGACAAGCTTGCTAGCCATTACGCCACTTTGAGGTGCCCCTTTCTTTCTATATATGTGTTCTCTGGAATAAAGACTGGTGTACCAGATACCAACTACCACAGTTATTGTTCACTTGGTGACTAATCTGGAATGTGCTACTATTCAAAAGTTGGGGTTTCAAGGAAGTCTTTGATGATTTGTAAGACTATGATTGCTTTGGTAGAATTTGAAAGAAACAGCCATACACATGTAGCTGGATATTATGACATTTTTTTACATAATTTGACCTTATTCTAAGAGCTAACATTCTTGAATACAGCAATTACTCTTTATCATTGGAAGGTGAGTAACTTAAATGAAAAAGTATAACTGTGAATAAATGCATAAGTCAGGTATAGATTTCAATGCAGTAAAAACTTTGAGAGAGAGTTGTTGGTATATATGAAAATATTGAAGTCTTGTTTGATGTACATTTGCTCTTGAAAGGAAATAGTTCATAGGGAAGGCTGCATGCAATGATTACATAATGAGAATTTTGCTGTTGGTGAATCATATATACATATTGTATGTGGCTTTTCTTTACTGTATTGTAAAAAAAAAAAAAAACATGAAGTTATATATTAGAATGGTCTGCCCTCAGATGGATATTGACTGTAACTCGGGTGGCATCATAAACCCAGACAAGAGAAACTATTCTTTGTTGAGTGTCAGCAGACTTGAACAAGTTTTTTTTTTTTTTTTTTTATTTCAAAGTCATTCACAACCTTCAAGAATTCTCTATCATGGAACAAGATGTGATATAACATAAAGATCATTTTGAAACTGCTTATAGAGAAGTATTTTTTTGTTTTTTTGCTGGAGGATGTGCCAGATATCAACTACCAAAGTTCTTGTTCACTTGGTAAACATTTATCTGAATATTATGGCATCTTTTACATAATTTGACCTTATTCCAAGAGCTAACATTCTTGAATACAGCAATTTCCCTTTATCAGCAAAGGATACATTCCAAGACTCTAAGCAGATGCTTGAAACCACAGATAGTACCAAATTTGATGCATATTATGTTATGGGTAAAGCAAATGACAATGAAAAAAATCTTAAGTTATGAGATTCATCCCTAGAAGAAAGTATTAGTAACATGCAGAACATTGTGACGGCCTGAGGCATCCATATCAAGAGGGCATCCAATCAAAGAGTGAAATAAAAATTTACTTTATATTTAATTTGAATAAAGTGTTTATTTTATCTGTTTTTACATATTTAAAATGTCTTCTTTTCCCACATTTCTCAGTATTAGGCCCTATAGGACCCTACTTGAATCTTAGGGGCATACAATCAAGGAGTATGGCCTCAGACATCACCAAACATCAACTACTCTCTTCAACCTTTTTCTGGAGAGAACTATACAGGAAACCCTCAACAACTACAACACTTCTATCTCTATTGATGGCAAACCTGTCTGCAACCTTCATTTTGCAGACAATATTGATTTTATGGCAGGCAGTAACAGTGATCTGCAAGGCCTGACCAATAAACTCATTGAAATCACATGGAATGGAATGGAACTCAACACAGAGAAATCCAAAGTAATGGTGAATAGCACAAGCAGCACAAATGCCAGTATCACCATAGACAGTGGAGGAAGTGTCCAGCTTCAAATACTTGGGAGCAAGACTGTCAAAAGATGGCACTAGAAATCTGCTCTCAGATCACCACAGCCATTGCAGCAATCGCCAGACTGGAAAGGACATGGAAGAGCAACATCAGCTTCCATACCAAGTTCAAGCTCTACAAATTGCTGGTCATGTTCATCCTGGATTTGGACACTCCTGAGAGCCACTGCCAACAGGAGGAGGTTGTCTGTTTCTTTTGCCCTTAGGTCCCCTGGACAATTGAAGCGGTCAACGGACTGATGATGATGACTTCATTCATTGCTTTTGTTTTTATAAAATATTTTGTTTTTTTATAAGAGTTGAATGAAGTCAACTAGATTATGCATCTAAGTAAACTAGACATTAGGAATATTATATGTGTAAAGGAAATACATTGATAATCAAAAAGAAAAGGATTATCAGGGCCATTATATAGAGTGATTATATATTTAATGTAAATGCATTGAAAATCAGACAGAAAGGAACAGAGTGATCAGACTTGTCTATAAACTCAGTGCTACCAGATTTTGAGTCAACTTTATTCTCAAAATGGCCCATGTTAGCCTTAGCATATCTTCAAAAATACTTAGTGGAGTGAAATTCAAAATTTAGTGGCAAATTGATTATTGTCAAGAATTAATGCAAGTGTTACTGATAGAATGGGGCAGTTATCTATGTGAAAAAATTCAGATAGAGTATATTTGTAAAAAGTCAATATGAATAAAAACAAAAGGAAAACTTATCTTAGCTGACACATTTCATCCTCTGAGGGACTTTATCAAGGCAAATGTAAGGATGAACATGCCTGATTTTTCACTACCCTGATGAATATTTACGAGCACCCCTATACCGAAAATTTTGAAAAACCAATAACATTTTTGGTCTTGTATATAAATATTTGTCACAAATAAAATCCTTACATTTGCCTTGATAAAGTCCTTCAGAGGATGAAATGTGTTTTTTGTCTTTTTTCATATAAGATTTTTGCATCACTGTGACAAAACTAAGAAAAGCTTAGTAAATAACTAGGAATTAAGAAACAAGACTGAAAATTTATCAAAATACAACATATACATAATAGAATAGAAAATAAAGATGAAAAAAAACCTACCCTTCGTGCTGAAGGACAAAAATCTGTACCCTTGATAGCTGAAAGAAGAAAATATATATAATTAAAAATAAGCCTTAAAACATGTGATGATAGTTTATCAAAAAGTGTGTGTGTGTATGTATGTATGTATGTATATGTGTATATATATATATATATATATATATATATATATATATATATATATATATATATATATATATATATATATATATCTGTTTCTATCCATTTATCCTGTTCATTTCTATCTATCTTGAATATACAGACCTGTAGATAAAATATTGCTTAAAATAAACAGAGCATCTACTCAAATGCAGGTATCCAGTAAAAATAATGTTTGAATTTTAAAATATCAGATTAAAAAGTAAAATCCATTAATTTTTTATAAGTTTATCTGTAACCATATATCTACTACTATATATATATATATATATATATATATACACATACACACATACCATATATCTGGGACTATGTTTCTACTTATGGTGATTTTCTAAATATTAACTTAGATGTGGTACAAGACCAAAAATATGGGGCATTTAGTGAGGATTGAACTCACTATTCAGTTGTAACTGATATAGTGAGACAGACTTGCTAACTAAAAAAACATGTTGAAGTACCCCTATGTTTCTACTTGTGTATCATTTTCTATCTAAATCCATATCTATCATAGTTATCAGTATAGTCAAACTGTATCATTTTGAATATTAATTTTCAAGCTTACCTACCTAACTCCACACAGTGTTCAATATGAATGTATTGATCACTGTGGAGTTACATGAATATGTAACTGTAAATTGCAATTATGCAAGGAGGGAGAGTCTTTCACATATTTTATGAATTTAGGAAAATCTAGCCAGTTAAAATAAAAATGAGGAAAATGTTTTTTTCTGCAATTTGACAGCATTCAAGCATTGATTTTTTTTTTTTTTTTTTTTAAATTCCTGAGAAAATGAAATGATTTTCTTCTTATTGGTTGAGTATCTGCCAACAAAGAGGGGCAGAAAACTCAGCAGCACTGGAATCAAACATTGGATCACAACAAGTACAGCATAAATAATAGTTTAGCAGACCATTATTTTTAGGAGAAAGTGTATCTCAGCTCTGACTTCTGGAGGTTGACCTTCAGGATCGGATGTAAGATGTAACAAGTTTTGATTGGCTGAGCTAGCTTGGGAATGATAGATAGAGAAAGGTTTTTCAGCAAGTTGTTTCTTGACCATCAAGTGATGTAGACATATTCTCTTTCATGCCTGAAATGTTCCCCAAGATTAAGTTAAAATTTTCTCTGTTGAAGTCTTTCATTGCTGAACCAAAACAATTGGTGACCGTCCTGGGTATGATGATAAACTGCATCCGCGTCCTGAGTAAGACAATAAACTACATCCAACAGCAAGGTCTATGACCAGGAGGTTTTGAGGAGTGTGGAACCACCTCTTAATTGCTGGTGTTCCCAGGACCACCTTGACCCAGGGTGGCAGCACCTGTTAGGGTTCCAGCTATGGGCAAATAGCTAACACCCAGACTATATCCACTTCCTGGGGATGACTATAAACTACATCTGCATCCTGATAATACGTTTTTGAAAAAAATAATGTTGCCAGCTGTATGTTTTTGAAAAATATTACCAGGTATACATTTTTGAAAAAATGTTATTTTTGGAAAAATAATATTACCAGCTGTACGTTTTTGAAAAAATAATATTACCAGCTATACATTTTTGAGGAAAAAAATATTAACAGAAATAGATTTTTGACAAAATAAAACTATTAATAAGGGAAAAAAAATTGTCGGCATTAAATAACCCATTGAGGTTGATGTGCAGTGAAACAAAACAAACTAAACTAAACAATTGGCGATCAACAGCCAAGAGAAAAAACCAAGCTGTTAACATGTAACACAAGACTTCCGCATGAGAACACCACACATATGGGACAAAAGCAGCTGAGACAACAGAAACACAAACAAGGACAAACAAATCTGAAACAATGCTGGGTAGCACAAACAAAAAGCCTTAGTAATGCACAACAATCCCATTTTGTGGTCAATACAGCGTACTGTTAAGCTCTGCCTTTTCCCAGAAAATGTACTTGTTTTTATAGAGTCTAAAACTTTAGCAGTTGGCTAACAAAAGAATCATTTGCAAGGCTAAGAATGCTCAGCTTAATGTCCCTACTATCTCATGGGGAAGCTGGTTAAAAATTTTTTCATAACCAAACATTCTGGGTTTTGCACCAGCTCTGTTCTGACAGGATAGCCATGTGCTGTCTTTCTACAGAGACAGCACACTAAATGTCTCTTTAACTGATTGGAGTGGGTACCATTATCAATAGTGATTGGCTGCTCCATCTATATTTTGTTTCTGCTACAGAGCATTCAAAGAAACCTTAGATAAACTCACCCACAACTGTGTAAGCATTGGCATTGAGAAATTTCAAGCAACACTCCAAGCACCAAAGACAGCAAGTACAGCATTTGATACAAAAACGAGCAAATTCATTTTCTGAGGCTTTCAACCTGAAAGAAAAAAATAGTGTAATGTATAAATTCTGTAAAACAAATTGAAATACTCAGAATAAAACACTTTTTGGTTTGGCATTACCTACTGCCTGGTGCAAGCAAGCTGATACTAACAGTAGTACAAGAGCAGTAACAGACACTACTACTTCAATACTGTAATGATGTGAGAAAAGGACAGTATTATAGCGAAAAAAAAAAACCCCAAAAAAACCAATGGATCAATTTCAATATCATAACTGAGTTCAAATTCTAGTCATGTTGGTTATATTCACTTATGCAAAAATATTCTTGGGAAAGGTATGAAGTCATCTCTTATTCCCCCAGCTATGGATAAATAGCAGGGAAGACTAGATCCTGTAGTCTTGGATGGCAACCAGTTTAGGAGGAGGAGAACTTTGAATTCAAAACCTAAAGAAGGTCATTTTGGAACATTGTGGCATACTATGTGCACCAATTTGCTGTATTTGGCTTTTCCAAAAAGTGTGGTTGGTTCTGTACAAGCCTTCACTGCTATAATCAAATCATATGTGCGAGTAGCCTGGTTGTTCAGTTCTAAAAACTGAGTTGCCCTACCCTCATATGTTGAAAATGATGGGAAAGTCCAATATATAAAAAATAGATAAAATCTGTATTAGTTTTGACTTTCTTTCTATTTTTTTTTTTTTTTTTTTGTATTTTTCACAGTTAAATTTCTAATTCCAACATTAACTCAGCCTATACTGGGGTTGAATAAGACTGACGAATTTTATTTTTTCATCAGTTAAAATAAGCTTATTCCTCATATGTGGTGATTTGGATTTTGTTGTGTATATATATATATATATATATATATATATATATATATATATATATATATATAATTGGATGCTCACACTGATTTCAACATAGCATGAGTGGTCAGAATTTCAGTTTGAAGTTCTCACCTACACTAATAGGTGTATACTAACAATGTATTGTTAACAGTGTAAGAAGTTACGTGACAGCTGCTTAGTGATGTCACTTCATAGAGTGAAAGTGGCCAGTCTGTCAGTTAACTTCTTGGAGTCTAGATACACTAGTTATTTATTTTGGCCAAGCTTCTGCCTGGGCAAGCCAATTGCCACATGGTGCAGCTTACAAAAAAGTAGCCTATCCATCAGTTAGCTTTCGAGAGTCAAACCAAACAGTTGATTTTTAACAAAGACTAGGCCTCCCCCAGCCAGCTGCTACAATTGGTGCAATTTTCCTATGGGATATATTTCCATAGGAAAATTGCACCAGGCTTAGAAGCTGTCTCTGGCTTGCAGTTCTCAATTTGGAAAAAACCCATGACTTGCCATTTTCCTGTATGCAGAATATATCTTTGCTAGTGACATAGCAGATAAATCCAATCTGAAATGATAAATATGGCTTTTCCAGAAACATGGAAGAATCTTCAGTAGCTCCAATTCCTGTTTGGAATTATTACAAGTAAGACCTTATTTTTTGTCTCCCTTTCACACTGCTTGTTGTGTAGACATGTGATATAGTTTTCTATGCACAGAAGAAATATAAATATGTATATAAAATTTTGTAAATGACTTAGCAGTATAAAACTCTCTCTGAGAACCATTCATCTGTTGTTCTTTTTCTTCCAGCTATTCTGTTTCATCCATTAAATAAGGTGTTATTATATCATGGATATAATAATGCCCATAATGGGGAAAATACAAATTGGGAGAATAAACCTTTCTTCCATAGCTCACCCATTACCTGCTGTGCTCAATGTGATATTTAATCTCTATCAACTGGTCACCACAACACTGTAATGTGATATTATTAGATCCATTATCAGAATATTGTGATTACTTTTTAATATTATTATGAAAATGAAAATGTTATTAGTTCATAATGTTTGAAAAAAATGTTCTGTTTACAAACAACCAAATTTAAGAAATTTTCCATGATAAAAATTTTATTAGAATATTCATAACTGTACATGATACTCACCTTTCGAATGTTTGAGGACCCAATGGCCTCAAATGAAATTTGAATTTTGTATGTCAATCCCACTTTCTGTACTAATAACACTTTATTCACATTCCTTATATAACATTTTATTGAACTTGTTGTCTTTCAATCTTTTTCTTTTTATCTTCTTATCTTGAGTAATGTTTTCTTGGTTTCCTTCACTCTATTGTCCTTTTGTGCCTTAGTGGTTTTATTGCCTTGTTTAGTGGGTGAAATGATTAAAAAAAACAGAACTTTTTTAGCCTACATGACCAATTATATAAGGCATATACTTTTTCATTTTTAGTAATCACATTAAAGCAAAAGTTCTTTTGAAAATGAATGCAATAAAATGTCCAGTAAATATTTTGTTTCCTGTTTTTGATTTTTACAAATATATTAATTATGCATAATGATAGTGACCTAAAATGAAACCAGTCTTACTTTTTGTCGATGTACATCAGGATCATTCGTGGCAGTTTCACCAGTGTGATAATCAAACTTCCAAAGGCAGCAGTGCCAAGATGGTATGTCATCACATGACAAACTGCTTTCGGGACTGTACAAGAGAGAGAGCCCTTATCACTGTAAAGAGAAATGAAAGAAAAGAAATATCAGAATGTAAAAGAGGCAAACATATGCATTTTCATGTAATAAAACACAGTATTTCTAATGTAAACTTCTAACATAATTGGTGTTTTATTTTAGGTGTGAGTAATAAACAACAGGAGTATAC